TTCTCCTCTCTCTGTTGTGGGGGGGGAAAAAAAAAAAAAAAAAAAAAAAACCCTCACACTTGGTACATGTGCATGTGTGCTCAAGATTCTAGGAGGAGAGTGGAGAAGGGCCATCCCCTCTAGGGGGTGACTTCTCACTTTCTGTCTCTCTGTCTCTCTTTGTCTTTCCAGCAAGCACATGCTCCCTATAGCAAAAAATCTCTCTCACCAGAGAGACACAGAGCGAGAGAGCAAGAAAGTGAGAAAGCAAGCCATGAGGTCTGAGACTCAAACCACGGTCAGCCATGTGGGAGTCCAGCACCTTAACAACCACACCATCCACTGGCCCGGGGCATGGTGAGTTCACTTTGGAAACCTAAAGAATCAGATATGAGTGTCTAGGTGAGATCCCTGCCATGTGCCTGGCTGGCATGGAGACAAGGGAATTAGAGAATCAAATAGCCCCATTTGCCAAATACTCAGAACAGGTCTTCTCTCATTTCAGATCAGAAGGAACCAGCGCCCACGAGATTTCCCCCCATTATCTCAGAAGATGGAAATTACTCCGTGCACCAGAATAGCCATGCAAGGTACCAAGAAGCGGTACGGAAGGTGTTGTTAAAGACATGTAAGTACCTTGGAGTGGGCACCATACTCAGATAAGAAAAGATATGTCGGGGTTCTTAGGCCCAGCTGCATGGGCATGTGCTACTAAAAGGTACTCCATGGGTGGGACCACACAGGAGGTCTGGATTTAATTCCTGTCTCAACCTAAATCCTGGGCATGGTGGCATGCACCTGTAATCCCAGGGACTCTGAGGCAGAGGACTGTGACCTCGAGGCTGGCCAAGGCAGCACAATGAGCTCCTACCTAAAACAGAGCTAGTCATGCTGGTGTGCAACTGTAGTTCCAGCCCCTGGGAGGCCGAGGCGGAAGGATCGTGACATGGTGAGACTCCATCGTGGATGAAAAAGGGTTGTCTGGGTTCCCATAAGATGGTGGGGATGTGGTAGCCATGGTTACAGGGCAGGAGGAAAAAGAGCCAGAAAGAGAGACTGAGACAAGGAAGGAGAGAGATGTGAATGGTGGGGTGAGTATAATAAAAGTTAAATCAGATTTGAAAGCAGAAGATCCAGGTTTGAGTCCTCGTTCTGCCTCTTTTTTAGATGTCTTCATCTTGGCTGAGTTTCTTACACTTGACTAATCCACTTCCTTTCACTGACGAAAGAGAGAGAGAGGGAGAGAAAGAATGTCATATCTACCACTCTACCAGTCTTACAGAATTGTTGTGAGAATCAAAACAAAAACAATTAAGGAAAGTACTTTGTATGTTATTATGCACTACCCCATAAGGAGTGCTAGACCAAGAACCAGCTTTGGAATTTGAACTGAGCTTCAACCCCAAACAAGTCGGGTGACTCTGGGCAAGTTCTTTAAGCCACATAAACTTTCTGAACCATCTGAAAGTGGGAAAAGCACTCTTTGGCACTGTTGTGAAAGCTGGAAAAAATATATATTTCATTTTTCAATTTGTCAGAGGGTACATGCATTTGCAGGGAGAGACAAGAGAGAGAGGGAGAGAGAAAGAGAGGGGGAGAGAGTGGGAGAGAGAGGGAGAAAGCACTCATGGAGCATGGTCATGCCACAATCCCTCCTCCTCCATTTCTCCCTTCTCTTTGGGACTTTGGGCTCATACATGTGCCCTCACATATTTCTTAAGCCACCAGTCCTGGATTTAAACTGTGCAGTTGGCCATTTGGGGTCTAGCTGTGTAAATCACCAAGCCACCAGCTGGCCCTAAAATATACATTTTTAAAAAACATCTAAGAAAAACTTCTTATTTAAAATATTTATTTATTTATCATATTCATTCATTCATTCATTTATTTTTGAAGAGGTTTTTGCTATAGGGCATGTGCGCTCGCCAGACAGAGAGAGACAGAGAGACAGAAAGCGAGAAATCACCCCTCAGGGGGGATGGTCACACCACAATCCCTTCTCCTCCATTCTCCTCTCAGGATCTTGGGCATGCACGCACACGCACACGCACCCGGCGTGAGTTTTAAGCCACCGGGTCCGGGATGCGAACCGCAGTCGACTACATGGGAGTCCAGCGACATAGCCATTACGCTAACTACTGGTTCCCTATTCATTCATTTATTTTAAATTTGACCAGAGAGAGAGAGAGAGTGAGAAAGCAAGCCACCAGGTCCAGGGACTCAAACCATGGTCAGCCATGTGGGAATGTCCAGCGCCTTAATCACCACACTACCTGCTGGTCCCCTCTAAGAAAAACTTCTGATTCATGCAATAACTTGTAGGAATCCCCAGGATTTATGCCAATAAATTGAGAAAGCCAAGCTCAAAAGGATCGACTATATGATGCCACTTATATAATATTCTTAAACTGACAAACATTTTTTAAAGAATTATTTAACTTTATACATTGTTTTTATTTTATTTAATTTTTTGAAGTTGACCAGGGAGAGACAGAGAGAGAGAAGGAAAGTGAGAAAGCAAGCTGCCAGGTGCAGGACTTGAACCACTGTCAGCCATGTGGGAGTCCAGCCACCTTAACCACCATGCCACTTGCTGGCTCCAAAATGACAAAATTAAGGGGCTAGCCAGGTGGCATGGTGGTTAAGGCAGCTGGATCCTAGAATGTAGTTCAAGTCCTAGACCTGGCAGCTTAAAAATCACACTGGGTCATGTGCATGCAGGCCCAAAATACTGAGAGGGGAGTGGAAGAGGAGGGATTGTGGAGTGGCCATCCCTCCTGGGGGGGTACTTTCTCATTTATCTTTCTCTCTCTCAAAAAGGAGGGGGATGACAAAATTATAGAAACTGAAGAACAGATAACTAATTACCTGAGGGGCATGTGTGGCTATAAAATGGTGATTCCAGATCAGGTGGTAACGAAACTGTTCTGCATCAAGACGTCAATATCCTGGCTGTGAGAGTGGAAAACAGCTCTGCCACATGTCACCACTGGGTGGGAATAGAGAAAGGGTGCACGAGCTCTTCCAGTTGTATTATTTCTTACAACTTCATGGGATCTATGAGTTCCTCAAAATTACAGTTTGGGAAACAAAAATACTTTTGGAAAACCAGCCCATAGCCTAGTGGTTAAGGGAGCCAGATCCTACATGGCCAAATGTGGTTCAAATCCTGGACTTGGTGACTTTAAAAACACATGGCATGCATGTGTGTGTGGTGCCTGAAATCCCAGCAGAATGGAGAAATGGAGGAGAAGGGATTGAAGCATGACCATGCCCCATTGGGGGATGCTTTCTCTCTCTGTTTCTCCGCCTCTCTAGCAAGCATACATGCCCTCTGGCAGTTTAAAAAATACTTTTCAAAATCAAAACAGATGTATGTAAGAAGAAAGGTACCTAAGAGTTATTTCAAATAGCAAATTTTCTTTTTATTTATTTATTTAGTTAGTTTTTAAGAGATCGCCCTGGTCCTGAGCCGGTCCCAGGCTTACTCTTTTTTTTTTTTGGAGAGGTTTTTGCTATAGGGTGCATGTGCTCGCCAGACAGACAGAGAGAGACAGAGAGACAGAAAGCGAGAAATCACTCCCCAGGGGGGGATGGCCACACCGCAATCCCTTCTCCTCCATTCTCCTCTCGGGATCTTGGACACACACGCACAAGCACCCAGCATGAGTTTTAAGCCACTGGGTCCAGCACTCGAACCGCGGTCGACTACATGGGAGTCCAGCGACATAACCATTACACTAACTGCTGGTCCCTTTTAAAAAATTTGTTAAAAATAATTATTTTATTTATTTATTTTAAATTTGACTAGAGAGGGACAGAGTGAGGGAGAGAAAGTGAGAAAGCAAGCCACCAGGTCAGCCATATGGGAGTCCAGCACCCTTAACCACCATGCCACCTGCTGGCCCTCAAATAGCAAATTTTCTTAAAAGCACATTAATTACTAGGAAAATAACTGCATCAGAAATATAACATCTACTCAATGAATTATTAGGGACATTTTTAAAAAGTAATGATTATGAAGACTGATAACAAGAGCTGGGCCCACAGTGCGGCAGGTCATATGGAATATTAGAGTTCAGTTCCCAGATTAACCTGTACACATCAGGCACATGTGAGTACGCTGTGATCCTGGCTGCCTGGGAAGGCAGGGGTGATATCACAACATGAGATCCTGTTGTGGGTGCTTGTCTTTCTCTCTCTGTCTCTTATGAAAGGAAGAAACATTTTTTTTCTTTTTTTTTTTCTTTTTAGAGAGAGATTTTTGCTATAGGGTGTGTGTAATCACCAGAGAGAAAGAAAGAGAAAGTAAGAAATCACCCCCTCGGGCAGATGGCCATGCCACAATCCCTTCTCCCCATTCTTCGGGACTTTGGGTACACATGCACATGCACCCGTTGTGAGTTTAAGCCACCAGGTCCAGGACTCAAACCGTGGTCAACTATGCAGGAGTCCAGCGATGTGACCATTATGTCATCAGCTGGTCTCAGAAGAAACATTTTTTAAAATTACAAATTTGGGACCAGGGGACCAGCAGTTAGCATAATGGCTATGTCGCTGAACTCCCCCGTAGTAGACTGCAATTCGCGTCCTGGACCCAGTGGCTTAAAACTCACGCCAGGCACGTGTGCGTGCGTGCCCAAGATCCCGAGAGGAGAATGGAGGAGAAGGGATTGCGGCGTGGCCATCCCCCCTGGGGAGTGATTTCTTGCTTTCTCTCTGTCTCTCTCTGTCTTTCTGGCGAGAGCACGTGCCCTATGGCAAAAGCCTCTGCCCCCCAAAAAATTGGGGCCAGCAGATGGTAGAGTGGTTATGTTGCTGGACTCCCACATGGCTGACTGAGTTCAAATCCTAGCCCTAGTGGTTTAAAACTCATGCCGGGCGCATGTGAACATGTGCCCAAGATCCTGGGAGAAGAATGGAGAAAGGATTGTGAGGGATGATTTCTTGCTTTCCCTCTCATAGCTTCTGTCTCTCTCTCTGGAGAGCCTATGTGTCCCAAAGCAAAAACCTCTAAAAATAAATTAAAATACAAATTTTAGGGGTCAGCAGATGGCATGGTGGTTTAGGTGCTGGACTTCCACATGGCCAACTGAGGTTTGAATCCTGGACCTGGTGGCTTGCAAAGCATGCCAGGTGCATGTGCATGCATACCCAGAATCCTGAGAGGAGACTGGAGAAGAAGAGATTGTTGCATGGCCATCCCCCTGGGGTTGGGGTGGGGGGCAATTTCTGGATGACATATGGCCAACTCCACAGTCCTAGTTCTGGATCCAGGCAGCTTGAAAAATCAAGCCAGGCACATGTGCATGCATGCCCAAAATCCTGAGAATGGAGAAGGTATTGTGGTGTGGTCATCTCCCTGAATAGTGATTTTTTTTCTTTCCCCTCTCTCTCTTTCTGTGTCTCTCTGGCAAGTACATAGGTCCTGTAGCAAGATTTTTTAAATAAAATTTTCTCTATTTGGATAAATCTAATTTAATAGTGTATAAAATTTGTACTTTTTATTTTTTCACCTTAACCACCATGCCACCTGGCTGGCTCAAAATGTATTTGTTTAAAGCATCTAGGCAAGTCTGAAATTATTTCAAAGAAAAATTATATGTCAGTAAGTGTGTGCACGTATGAGAGAAAGAAAGCACCTCTCAGAGCCTGGTCTCACGGCAACCTTTTCCCCTTCATTCTCCATCCTGTCAGAATCCTGGCACCTGCACATGCACCTAGTGTGTTTTCCAAGTCACCAAAGCAGGGACTTGAATCCTCGTCACCATGTGGAATCCAGCTACCTCAGTCTAGAACTTAACCTCTGTACTATAGGGTTGGCCCTTATTTTAAAAAAATAAACATTGAAAACATGATAGGCATATGATAAATGGCATGTATTAGCAGTATCTAAATATGAGGCAGTGGGCTAGTAGGTGGTATGTGGTTAAGGTGCTGGACTCCCACATGGTTGACCATGGTTCAAGTAGACCTGGCAGCTTGGCTTGCTTTCTCACTTTTCCTCTCTGTCTGTCTCTCTCTGGTGAGCACACATGCCCTATAACAAATTTTAAAATAATAGTAAAATTAAATAAATTATTTTAAAAAAACCAAATGTGATTCAGTATCATTAAGTCTCAGGGCACTATCTGTTGAGTGAAGGAAGGCGTTATTTCAGAGAAGAAGAAAGGCAATGAGGATGATTACGCTCAGAAAAAAAGAAAAATAATGCATCAGTAGACCCCATCTTGAACATCTCCCAAGTGGGTTGACTGCTTGTGTTTTCACTATCTTGACACTTGCAAATAGTTCTCTTGGAGATGGCTTACTAGTAGCAGGAAGAACCAAGACTGATTCATCTGACCATGAAGGGTGAGATGCTGGAATCCGGAAGTAGAGGGTGTGGTGACCACATTCTGAGGCCTCTCAGCACCTGGTCAGGCCCTGTTACTGGGCTGAGCTTTTGCTGCCCTGAGGCAGAAAAGTGAGCAGAGAACTTGAAGGAATTAATAACTTGCCCTTCCCCCAAACCATTCAGTCCCCAATCAGGTCTTCAGAATCCCCTTAACTGATGCTCAGAACTTCAGCTTCTGGCGGTCCCATGATCCAGGAGTGCGACCAGAGGAAACCATGCCATGGACCCGGAACCCACGCCATTGTCTCATTAAAAGCCCAATGACCAGGTTAGGCTGGAAGGGGTTAAGGTGGGAAGCCCAAGGGAAAGTATTCCCTCCCCTCACTTAAACTCTTTGAGGGTAATGCGTCTATGCTGAGTTAGGGAGAGGTTGCATCTTGGCAGAGAAACGCTGGTCCCAGAATCACGGCCATGGTGGCATTCAAAGTTGTCAGAGATTTGTCTGTCATTACGTTTTGTCTTATGCGTATGACTCCTGAGCAGACAGAAGATAAGTGTCTACAGCACTCCTGTGGGAGCACTTTCATTGCTATCTCCCCCCATTCCGATCACCCTCCACTGGCAGTCGCCCTACTTCATCACTAACTGCCCGAGTCAGTCTTGGGGGCTACTTTTAAAGACTGGCCTGGCTGGATCTGAGATTCTGTCTGTCTTTTCCAGGTTTGTGGACCACTCTATTCTCAATGACAGAAACTTCAGTCTGTACTGAGGCTGCAGAAGGAAAAGGAGTGCGAAGAGGTGGAAGGAGGGAGAAGGTGTCCTGGTTCGGAGGGGGAGGGCTGACTGACCGGAGGAGGGGATCAAGAGATCACAGTGAACAGACGGACTAGAAGTCACTTTTGTGTACTGGGGGTGGGGGAGTGGTATTCCAAGGTCTAGAGCCCTGTGAGAGCAAGTGTGTGGGAGATGCCTGAAGGCCCAGACTTTGGTATGAGAGGTCTGAAAGGGCCAAGGCACTGGAAGGACAACCTCAAGGATCTTTGACCTCATGCAGGCAGGGGTTATACGGACAAATCTGGGAGGACACACACTGGTCCTTACGACGCTGAAGGGCCTGGAGCAAGCGCACTCTCTGAAGACACTGTGGCTTCTGCTGGGTGAGAGAAAGTCCTCTCACCACAGACAAGCGAGGCCCACAGAGCCCTGGGGCAGGAGGAGGCCGTCTTCTGCACCAGATCCTGCCACTTCTGATCCAACCCAGAGCCCAGAAAGCTGCAGAAAACAGGGAATTTTACAAAGAGTTTGATTTTATTGATATTTAAATATATTAAATATTTCACTGAAATACATGGTACACCACCCACCCTCCCTCCCACAGTGGTTACATTATAAAACCAAAGCCCAGGGCCTCCCATCCCCTGACTCCCCCACCGACGAGTGAGGAGAGGGGCAGTGGTAGCCCTGGGGAAGGGCATGGCTGGCACTGTGGTATGGGGAGCCAGGGTGTGGACAGGCCCTTCCCACTTGGCAAGAAGCAGAGACAAGTCACCCAAGGCTGAGGTCTCCCCACTCTGGTCTACTTACACCCTCACTCCACCCACAACACCAAGCAGCCCTTCCTATACAGGGATACAGCAGGGGGCAGGGGAGTCCATTTTCTGTCTGAACCAACTAGACTTTTCCCCTCTTTCTGCCTTGGCTAATGAAGTGCCCGATGGTCCGTTTGGTGGATCTGTGAAGATCCCTCAAGGCAGGCAGTACTGAGCCAGAAACCAGGCCTCTGCAGGCAGCTGGCATCAGAAGAGGCATGAGGAAGGCCAAGAGCACTACCTGCTCCCTCTACTCCCCAAACCCAGCAACTCCAGGGACTCTTTCTTCTATGCCTCCAGTCACTTCCAAGACAAAATGAGCTTCAACCAAAACTCAAGCGAATGCCTCTGGCTTAATAAGTACAGACAGAAGAACCAAGGCACCTACTAATTCAGTCCAGAGTCAAGGAGGTCGCAGGGAAAGGTGTAAAGGAAGATAAGAGAATCTAGAGACCAATCTAAACACTTCTGCCAGCCTTGGTAGGCTTGACAAGGACGGGGGAGCCAGGGACATGCTAGAGTCAGGCTGAAGGCTGGAGAAAGCCAAGTCTAAGGTTCCCCTGCCCCATCCCCTAGTACCAGTATCTGGGTCCTCAGAGGGATCCCATGGCATACCACATCCCAGAACAAGCTGGGGAACCCAGGAAACTCCTGCGCCTCTGCCCACCAAACCCCAGACAGTTCATGTGCATGGAGCACTGGGGCTCAAGCAGGGAGACAGTCATGCTGCACGTGAGGCCCCCAAACGGCACTTAGGGATTTGGCACAGAAAGGACTCTTCTCCCCAGGGCCACCCTCCTTTGGCTACCACACCCCATCTCACTCCCGTGCAACCTGGCATCTCTCTACATCCCCTGAAATAGGAAACCCTGCCTTAGTCCCAGAAGCTGGCAGCCCACAAGAGAGAGGCGACCCAGGGTGCAGCACTGAGGAGCAGGAGCACAAGGACACACACAGACCTGGAGAACAGATACTCACACGAAGACCAACATGCATACACTGCTACACAAACACACAGGCCCTCCCTTGTGCCAGGGACTTGGGAGGACAGGTCTGGGGTCAGGGTCATATTCTCCCATGCCCTGACCCTTTTCTATTTGGCAACAGAAGGGGTAGAGCTGTTCATGCCTCCTGGCCAGCAGAGAGCAAGAGAGCACTGGGGCAAAGTGATCTAACCCTGGCCACGTCCAGGTCCCCACACAGGGTCTGGCACCAGCCCCTCCCTGGCTGGCCTGCTCTCTTTGGCACCTGCAGGTAAACTTCCAGCTCCCGATCTTCTGATATCCCACACACGTGTGTGCTTTCTGGCTGGGCATTTTCACAGTACCAGTGAGGCCAGACACCCCTTTCCCTGGAGCATGCAGGAACTGGGGCTAAATCTGAGCTGTCAGAGGTCCCTTTGTTCCCCTTTGGGGACAGATCATGGGACTAGGATTTGGCAAATAGAAACATTCCCCTGAAGTATAGATAGAACTGGGTCCCCAAGGCTTCTCCCTCCTCTGCCCTGTGCCTAAGAGGAACACCCGGCTGAGGCAGGAGGGTGCCCAGGACCAGTGCTGGGATGCAGGCACAGCAAAGGCAAGAACAGGCACTCCTCGTGCCTGCCCCCAGTCTTGGTATAAAATGCTCTCAGGAAAAAAAGAAGAAAGGAAGGGCCCAGCCCTGAGCCTGCTGCCCAGACAGGTCAAGAGAGGCATGGCAAACTGCCATTTTAATCTCTCAGGCAGGAGGGCTCCCCCACTTTTGCTGCTGCCCCCTCCTCAGCTCTGGAAAGCTGGAAGAAAGGAGAGGGAACCCCTAGTTTAAAAAGAACATCACTTGCATAATCCTCTTGATAGGCCCTCATTTGCCAGCCCAAGAGCAGACGAGCATCGTCCAGCCTGCTGGGTGTTCCCTTTTGCAGTCAGCAGGGTCTGGAGGCACAGTGCCCCTGGCCACAGTTCCACCCAGAGAGCAGAGTCCACTCGGTGTCCACCTTGGTCCCTTCAGCTGAATTTGTAGCTGGACCCTGCTAACTGCTGGGGCCCCCATTGAGGAAGTAGGTGGTCATCTCTCCCTTGCCCTTCACCTTGACCACCCCTCGACACTCCAGCTGGTAGCCCTTGGCAGCTAGAACCTGGTACAGGTCCGCGGTCACCTGGGGATGGAAGGGGGCCCGCTTAGCCTGAAATCCTTCCTGCTGCATTTGCAGGGGCTTAGCAGTTCTCTGGTCAGGCTAGCTCCCCTCCCCCAGTCCCTGCACCACCAACCACAGAACACTGCCACCCTACCCCTGTCCAGGCTGACTGCTGAGACAGGCCTGTGGAACCACTCTGGACCCAGGCCACTCCCAGCCTCAGCTCACACCCCGCTCACCTGGATTCGGTCAGGGACCCCTGTGCTGTCCATCCGGCTAGAAACATTCACTGTGTTCCCCCAGATGTCATACTGTGGCTTCCGAGCTCCAATGACGCCTGCCACGACTGGGCCCATGTTCAGCCCTGAGGTGGGAGAACAGCAAGAGATTGAGACGAATAGATGCTCCAGAGTCAGCCCGTGGGAGTCAGCCCCATCCCAGCACCTGCAAAAGGACCCAGAGAATAGAGAACAATCTGGGCATGCCAGCTGAGGCACCCCAAATGAACCCAACTATGGCCCAACAGCAGCTAATCTGCTGAAGGTTGGCTCTGTGCCAACCACTCTAGTGCACATTTCACATTATTCATCCTCTCGCACCTCTCAAAGTAGGCATTATTAGCCCCACTTTACAGACAAGGTAACTGAAGTTTACAAAAGTTAGGTTACTTGCTAAATAAACCAGTAAACAGAACAGCCAGAATCCAAACCAGTCTGACTCCAGAACCTACACTATGACCACTCCCACCTACCAGTTCCACTGACAGGACGTACCTTTTATCAGGTTAGACACAGAGAAAGACACAGGTATTAGAGTTTAGACAAATCTAGTTTTGAATCCCAGCTCAGCCACTTATTAGTTGTTTTTTCTTTTAAAGAATTATTTTATTTAACTTTATTTATTTAAATTTGATCAGAGAGGGAGAGAGAAAAAGAGAGAGAGAGAAAGTGAGAAAGCAAGCCACCAGGTCCAGGACTCGAACCGCAATCTGCCATGTGGGAGTCCAACACACTTAACCACCATGCCACCTGCTGGCCCCACTAGTTTTTGATACTGGGCAAGTTATCTAATCTCAGAGTCAGTCTCAATGTCTTTATCTGTGAAAGGGGATAATTATGTGAAGATTAAAATGTGCTAAAAAATGTCAAGGACAGGGACCAGCAGGTGGCATGGTGGTTAGGGTGCTGGACACTCCCACATGGCTGACCACAGTTTGAGTCCTGGACCTGGTGGCTTGCTTTCTCACTTTCCTTCTTTTTCTCTGTGTGTGTCTTTCTGGTCAAATCAAAATAAAATGAATGAATGAATAAAAGTAAATAAATAATTTTTAAAAAATGTTGAGGACAGTGCCTAGTACACAGTAGGCCCTCGAATGATTTCTGTTCTTTTTTTTTTTTTTTTTGGAGAAGTTTTTTTGTTTTGTTTTGTTTTATTGTTGTTGTTTTTGCTATAGGGCGCATGTGCTCGCCAGACAGACAGAGAGAGACAGAGAGACAGAAAGTGAGAAATCACCCCCCAGGGGGGATGGCCATGCCACAATCCCTTCTCCTCCATTCTCCTCTCGGGATCTTGGGCATGCATTTACACATGCCTGGCGTAAGTTTTAAGCCACCGGGTCCAGGATGCGAACCGTAGTCGACTACGTGGGAGTCCAGCGACATAGCCATTACGCTAACTGCTGGTCCCTGATCTCTGTTCTTGATATCATTGCTCTGAATATCAGAACTGACCTAAGCGGTGGGAGGGAAGGAAGTCCTGATGAGAAATCTGACCTTATCCCCAGCCTGCACCTCAGTTTCACCCAGCAAGGTCCTGGGGAAACCTGCACCGTGCCCAGGCCCTCTCACCGATCTTCATCTGGAAATTATTGAAGGAGTGCTCATTGATGTGCTTCATTTGCTCCATGAGCCGCATGGCGTAGTCGGCCAGGGCCGTGATGTGGGAGCGGCCCACCTGATCGTAGGTGCTGGCGTTCAGCCCGGAGGCAGCCATGTAGGTGCTGCCAATCGTCTTGATCTTCTCCAGCTGTCGGAACCGCTCCTCGCTGATGATCTGGACGACATGGGGAAGTGGCTTTCGAGGCAAAGAAGCCAAGCCACCCCTGCCCCCACATTCATTTCTCGCCAAGCCTTGGCTCCCCTCCCTTCCCTGCCTCACGAGCTGCCCCCCTTAAATAAATAAGCCCCTTCCAGGAGCTGCTGTCTGTGCAGGATGGGGGAGCCAGGACCCAGGCCAGGGCTTGGGCCCCCAGCTTCAGAGGTCAGCTGCGATAGCTCACTCACAGAACACAAGTGCAGAAGGGTATGACGCATCGGTTACTCCAGTCCTCCCTCCCCTTTTAGGAATCTCAGTCCCTGAGGGAGGAGATGACATCCCTCCAGAACAGGGAACAGCCCATTCCTGACCTGGATGTTCAGGTCACATTTTGCTCCCATTTTCTCCATTCAGGGGACCACCTTGCTTGGTCTCAGGGACCTGTCCACAGACAGCCTATTACCACCTCCAGTGACTTCCACCTGGTTCCCCCGCACCCCCCCCACAGCTCCTCATGCCCTCCTTTGCTCCCCAGTAATGGTGACCCTGGCCCACTATGGCTGACCCACTTTCTGCTTCTGACACCTTCATGGATTTGCGTCCCTACCTCCACAGTGCTTGTCTTGACCCCCACCCCTGACGTCTCCGGGTCTTACCAAAGCTTCCTTTCTCCTCCTAGACCCAAACCTCACATCCAATCCTGGCCTTCTCATCCCCTGGTCCCCAAGTCCCCCCACTCTCTGCCAGCACCAGGAGACCAGACAAGTACCTCATCAAAGTCAGCGATGATCTCATTGAGCAGTCGCAGGCACTCGACGCCCTCATTGTTTGCCTCCAGCTCCACATAGAACTCTGAGAAGTTGGCAATGGAGGCAAACATAACAGCCACACACTCACACGACTGATAGTAGAGCTCATCATTCCGGCGCTCCCGGGCCAAGAAGTGGGCGGCCACGTCCTTGGGCAGAATGTTGTGTAGCAGCCGCCGGTTGTACGCCTGGAGCTCCTCCATCTCCTCCTTCTCCCCTGTTGCCTGTGGACACCACACCCATCACCCACTGCCAGCATTCACAAGAGATGGGTGCAGTGATGTAGGGCCGGAAATGGGCATGGGGGGATCACATGGAGAAAGGAAGGCACAAACAGGTGAGGCCTAAAGAACAGATGAAGGGGTAGGTACAGGAGAGGGCAGGAGAGGGGGAGGGGGAGGGTGTGGGAACAGAGAAGGTATGGAACTAGGGTGGGCTGCGGGCGGCCTGAGCCTTAGCTGGCCAACAAGAGATGCATTTCTGGCTTGGCCCAGGCTCTGCTACCAGGTGCCTCCCCCTCTCCCAAAGGCCCACCAGGTCACCTGGAGTTTCCAGAGGAAGTCCAGGCGGGCAGTTGACTCCACCTGCTGGGCATGCAGATACAGTGCCAGCGCAAATACCAGCAGAATCACGGGGGTCATATATTTGAGTGCCACCCTCCCTGCAGCTGGGCTGAGCGTAAGCAGAGACATGGTTGGCGTCTGAAGGAGGCATTTGGCAGCCCTACCTCTTGCTGCCCCAGAGCCCTCACTTACCAGTCCAGCCCATCAAAGGTCTCATTGGAAGAAGCCCTGGCAGGAAGACACAAGAGACAAAGTTGTCAGAGCTCCCTGGTTGAGGGCATGGAAATAAGACAGGACTGCATTTACTGAGCACAAACCACAGTCAGACATGGGGCCAGAGCTTGCTCTTATCTATCATCTATATTACATTTTTTTAAAAATTCATTTTGTTGGTGCCAGCAGGTGGCATGGTGGTCAAGGGCTCTGGACTTCTACACGGCTAACCATAGTTCAAGTCCTGAACCTGGCAGCTTCCTCTCTCACTTTCCCTCTCTCTCTTGCTCCGTCCCTCTCTAATCAAAATTAAATAAAGCTAAATAAAAACATTCTTTTAAAATTTCATTTTGTCATGAATGCGAAAGACAGAGACAGCACCTCCAACAGGATCTCAACACCACAATCCGCCCACAGCCATGCGTACCCACTATCAGCCAGCCCCAGATAGTGGGTACACATGAGCCTAGCATAGGCTCTCCAGATGTGACCTGGAGACTTAGGGAGGTCTCCAGATGTGAACCAGGAACTTCCCATGTCAGTCAGAGCATCACAGAGCATCATATTTACGACTGTGCCACCATCTGGCTCAGTTTCCTCACCAGTAAAAGATCAGATCTAAATAACTCATGTAAAAAGCTGAGCGTGGGAGGCCAGCAGTTGTCATTCTGGTTAAGGGCACTGGACTACCACATGGCTGACCGTGGTTCTGGTCCAGGACCTGGCAGCTTGTTTTCTCACTTTCTCTATTTTGTCAAATTAAAATAACTAAATAAAGTTAAACAAAATAATTCTATTTAAAAAAATAGCTGAGCTGGGACCAGCAGATAGAGTAATGGCTACGTCGCTGGACTCCCATGTAGTCGACTGCGGTTCAAGTCCCGGACCCGGCGGATTAAACTCACGCTGCATGCGTGTGCGTGCATGTCCAAGATCCCAAGAGGAGAATGGAGGAAAAGGAATTTCAGCGTGGCCATCCTCCCTGGGGGGTAATTTCTCACTTTCTGTCTCTCTGTCTCTCTCTGTCTTTCTGGCACGTGCCCTATAGCAAAAACCTCTAAAAAAAAAAAAAAAAGCTGAGCAAGGTATCTGGCATATAGTAAGCATTCAATAAATATTAGTAACTAATCTTTGCAACTACCTTGTGATTTAGGTGTTCTTGTCATTTGCAGATAAGGAAATTAAGGCTCCTAGAAGTTAAGTCAGCTGTTCAGTCACACAGCTAATGGGTAGCAGAGCTGGAGCTTTTTCTACCACAGCAAGCTATGGCCACATACCACTAAGGGTGGGGTTTTACAGAGGAAAAGCCCACAACAGGAGTCAGAAGTTTTGGTTCCTAGTCAGGGCTCTGCCACCAAGCAGCTGTATGACAGGACAGTGGATATGAAAACACCATGCAAACGTAAGAGGGGTTTTAGTTTTTGCCCTTTTTTTTTTTTTTAATGCCTGGCCTAAAGACACAGGACTTTCCCAGTACTGGGGTTTCTTTGAGGTAACTATTTGGGGTCACATGCTAAGAGCTCCTCCATCTCCTCCCTCTCACCCACAGGGGAGTGGCATGCCAAAGGGCACAAAGGACCTGGGCAACAGAGAGGCTCACAGAGATCCAGCAGGATAAGAGGCTCCTGGGGGCTGAGAACATACTCACAAGCCATGGACGCCAAGCAGCAGGTCATAGTTGTCAAAGATGGTGGCTGGGGGACCCAGCAGAAGCAGCACCAAATAGATGAGCCCCAAGACAAAGATCATGGCCAACTTCCCAATACTGCTGATGTGTAGGAAGACAGAGCTGGCCAAGAGACTCAGCAGCATGTTCCCGACGAAGTACTGGGGGGCGATAGCAGGGGCAGCATTGGGGGAAGGCGGAGGTCACAGCTCCCTGGGCAGGGAGAGCCCTGCACTCCCCTGCCTGGCCTAACCTCCCTCCACAGCCCTCAAACCCCAACATCCTTCACCCTCCATGCCCACCCCCTACACCACACCTGGGCCCCAGCTGCTACTACAGTTGGGGACTCTGGTGAGTTCCTGTGTCCCAGTGTCCATCAGAGGCCTGGCACAGAGGGGCCAATAACTGTGCCAGGACACCCCCCTCCCAGCCTAAGCACTGCTCGGACACCTCAGGGAAGCTGCAGGTGGGTGCGGTGCCCTCACACAGGGGAGCATCCAAGCCCAGGGAGTAATTGAGCTGCTGCAGGTGGCAGGCAGTGATGTCAGCAGGTGTTAAATTCAGCATCCGGGCAGCACAGGTCCGTATGGGGGTGTGGTTACAGGTGAACTGCGAAAGTGGAGGGGCGGGGTATGTCAGAATAACCAAGGAGGGGAAGGGTGTCCTATACCCCAGGGGCCGAGGTTCTCCCTCAGATGATGAGAGGTAGGGAAAACAAAGAGGGAGAACTGGACTTATCCTCTGGAGCAGCGGGGTTCCTAGGGATAGCACGTGTCTTATTCCCCTCTGTACTCTCAGCTCTGGGTGGGCTCTGCCACAGAACAGAGGTGGGAGACTCTGCACTGGCTCCTTACCATGTTGGCAATGGCAGAAGTGAATACAAGCAGGACTGAAAAGATGCCGACTGCAGTGCTGTGTGCCCGTGAGCGGACAATGCTGCGGGACAGTCGTTGCAGGGCCTTAGGAAACAGCTGGAGGCAGCAAGGAACCGGGAGTTGGAGGCCACATCAGCCAAGGAGGAAGGCCAACCAGGGATGGGCCCCAAGGGGAGGCATGGCCTTCTCCTCCCTCCCCACTCCTAGCCCAGCCAGCCCTCCAGCAGCCATGGAAGTCCCCCACGTACAGAACCACAGGAGTACACCGCGCAGATCAGCACAGTGACCAGCAACAGCAGGAAGATACTGGCGTAGATACCAAGCATCAGGGTTGAGCTGGGGCACAAGGAGAAGGAAGACGTTACTCTGGAAGGTCTGGGCATCTTGTCCCACCCTCCAGAGCAGGCAGGGGTGCAGGGTCCAGGGACCACGGACTGTGCGAATGTTTTTTTTTTTTAAATATATAAAAGCTTTATTAAAGTAAACCAACAGTCCAGCTCTAACAATATTTAAGATAACTATAAATATACCAAACAGAAATTACCATATGACCCAATCAGAATATATTTAACACAGTATTGCTTTAAAAAGCAAGCAAACGTACAAAGGAAAAAAGGAGCTTATAGAAGCACATTCAGGTGTAAACAGCACGTGGCTCTGCGGGAGAGACGGACATCGCAGACATCTGGCATACGGGGATGGCCCCACCTTGCGCCCACAGGGGAGCCCTCTCTAGGCCCTGGTAGGGTGCACCAGTGCCAATGTTGAGGAAGGTCCTGGGAGGTGGAGGAGAGGGAAGCTGAGGGAGGAGCAGCAGGGCACTCACTGCGGGAAGACGAGGAGCTGGATGAAGCAGATGAAACAGAAGACCAACAAGGCACAGGCAACGTAGGCTCCGAAGCGGGGATCCACCTTCCGTGAGTACTGAAGGAGAGGAGGCTGAGCTGGGCACTGGGCATTGGGCCCTGCCCTGGAGGAGGCAGGGACAGCAAGGGCAGGGCCCCACCAGGAGCCTCAAGGGGGAGAAGCAGTGGACCCAACTGATATGAATCCCCACCCTATTCTGTGTTCCTCTGTTCCCCTAAAACTTCTGCTCCCACCACCTCTGCTCAGCCTTCCCTGCCTGGACTTGCCACCGCCCCCCGGTGAGCCCTTATCCTTCACCCAGGGTCCCCCAGACCTTCTTCTCAAGATCGTCTCTCTGGAAGGTGAGCAGGAACCGGCGCACGTGGTCCTTGCGCAGCTGATCGATGCTGCGGGCATCGATGGCCCGGCCCAGGAACTCATCTACCTCGTCCTCAGGGTTCAGGGCATCTTGGGCGCCCCGGCTGAAGGCAGGGGGCATGGCTTCACCAGGTGCGTGAGGATTGCACATGAGAAGCAGTGAGAGGGAAGGGAATGGGCAGCACCCAAGGGAGGGGGTGTGAGTCAGGTGTGTGGCTCCTGCTCCCACAAAACACATTCAGGGAAGAAGCGGTTGCAACTCCCCGCACCTGTACCCCAGGTGTAGGTGTGCCCTCTTCCCCTCCTGACTTACTTGTCTTTGCTGGAGTCATCAATGCCCTGGAGAAAGAGAGTGTATGAGTGAGCCGACCACCTTCACTTCTATAGCCCCTTCCCCGTTCCCAACACTGGGCCGAGTATCCCCACCATATGTTTTGGGGTGCTGGGGATCCCAGAGATGAAATCATCCCTCCTGCCCCCAATACAAGAAAATACGCATACAGATGGCAGCCATGACAAGGAAGGAGAGGGACACAGGGTGTTGAGGAGACAAGAAAGTGAGGTCCCAGGTCCAGGGTTGGGGACCCCTCACCATCTGGCGGAAGGCCTTGGAGTCCTTGGTCCGGGAGAAGGCACGATCTGGCACCCAGCGCGGCACCAGCCCTTCCATGGAGTTGGCCCGCGTCCGCTGCAGCTTGGCCAGCATGGCCTTCTCCTCTTTCTGTGTGGGCAGTGTAGGTGCAGGCTCAAAAGAGGGGCCCAGAAAAGGCCCTTGCCCACGCCTCCCCTTCCATCCCTGTCTCTGCATGCACCGCCCCCACCCTGCCCTGACCCTGACCCGTTTCTGGCTGGCGCCCAGGATGAGGAAGGTCTCAATGTGCTGCTCCTTCAGGTACGCATTGCGCTCGCCGCCCCGGCCTGGCTCCACCTCGTAGTCCCCATTCAGGTACTGCAGTGTGGCCCGAGTGATGTGGATACGACTGTGTGGGGAGAGAGGTGAGACCCTGGCTCTCCCACCTTGCTCCCACCCCGCACTGACTGCACCCTTCCACTCACCCAGCCCGGCCCCCTGCCTCCATATGGTTGGCCAGGGTCACGTCGTTGGACCACACGTCGAACTGCCATTTCCTCAGGCCAAGGACGCCGCAGTGCACACGCCCGCTGTGGATGCCTACACGCATGTTCACGTTCACACCTGTCACCTCACGCACCAGCCTGGGAGGAAGCAACTCCAGATCAGCTCTCAGCAGTCTTCCCTCCCTTGGCGCAAAGCCCAGGCCCTCTGCTCCCCTTGGAGCCGAGTGGACAAAGACGGACCAGATGCAGGGGACAGGGGCACAGCCTTGTCTGGACAAGGGCAGAAGCTGCCTGGGGCCCAAGGACAAAGGTCTGCAGCTTGCTCACCAGCAGGACCCAAAGCATAACTGAGCTCGGAGAGAACTCAGCTGGCATTCTCTCCGGCTCCATTCCCCATGGCCTCAGCTCTCCCTACCCCCTCCAGGCTGGCTGGGATCTAAGGGTACACGTGGGTCTGCGCAGGCTAGAGGAAGACCTGTGCCATTCCCCAGTGACAGACAGCTCTCAAAGATGAAGAAATGGCCAAGACTGAGGAGAATTCCTGAGCACACATCAAAGAGTAGGAGCAGTCTGGGCCCCCACCCCAGTTCTAAGAAGCCTGGGAATGAGGCACTACTTACGAAATGGCCTCGATCATGTCCACCCCCATCTCCACGCAGCAGTGGGCGTGGTCTGCCCGGGCCTCCGGCAGGCCTGACACACAGTAGTAACAGTCCCCTAAGATCTTGATCCTCAGGCAGTGATTTTCCTGAAGGAGCAAGAGTTGGAGGGTCACCTTTACTCTCTTACCCACCCAGCCTTCCTGGCCTGCCACCCTCACTGCAGACTCCACTCTCACCACAGCTGGCACCACCCCAAGTCCAGCACCCTCACCGCTGCCAACTTGTCAAACCGGGCAAAGAGTTCGTTCAGGGTCATGACCAGCTCCTGTGCAGTGCACTGGGATGCCAGGCTGGTGAAGCCTTCAATGTCTGCAAACAGGATGCTGTGGACAACAGCAGGGGCTGGACCAGCCACGTAGCCCCACAGCCCCCCAGACCCCCACCCTTTTGGCCTCCTTCCTACAACGCTACCTGACGTTGTCGTGTTTCTGGATATAGATCTTGTGGAACATCATGTCTTCTTTTTTTGTGTTGATGTCTTCTTTCATCTCCATGGCAACGTGCTGGGGCAACACCGACAGCAGCAGCCGCTCCTAGACCAGTGGTTCCACAGGGCACCACTATCTTCCTGGCCTCACATTTCCCTCTCCAGGTCCACCTCATCCCTCCACATCCACAGACCACTCCTCAGAGCCCTGAACTTCCTTTTGGGGCCTCAGCCTGACCCTCCCCAGTGAGTGCCCTCAGCCTAACCCTTTCTGACCAAGGTGGATGTGCTCCTGTCTTGTCCTCCCATCCTCAGACTAGAGAGAACCCCAGTGTCACAGGGCCCGCCATCCTGGGGGAACCATTCACACTGTGTTTCACGAGTTAGGCAAGGCAACAGACCCAACCTGAGGGTTACTGGGATGAGGTGAGGGAAGGCCCTGGTCAGGGAAAGCAGCCCTACCTGCTGCCGATTCTCATGCTGCAGATGCAGCCGTGCCTGGATGTAACCGCGAGTCTCCTGAAAGGCCTGGCGCTGAGACACCTCGGCTGGGTAGTGTGTGCAGATGCCAATGACATTGGTACAGAGGAACAGCAGCACATTGGCACCAAGCTGCAGGAGGGTGGCAGAGGCAGGCGGGTTACCAACCCCCCCCCACCCACCCCCCCACACACACGCCCACACATGCATGCAACTTGCTAGGCTTTCTGAGGATGACTCCTTTAGGAAGGGAGCCAGGGCCCCACCTCCTGTCTGTCTTCACTCCTGCAATAGATCTCTCCTATTTCCAACAGGATTCGACATCCCAGCCTTCTGACCACTCCTGACTAGAAATGAGATCTTCCGGAAGCAGAAGCACCGACAAAGGCCAGGTAGATCATGGGACTCAGCCTCGGCACCTTGTGATCGCCTGTGCCAAAAGCACTCCAAACAGCAAACACTGCTCCTCTGCATGTGGTTTTCCTTACAGGACAGCACCTAGGAGACCTGAGCTCTATATGCTCCCGTGAGGACAAGTCACCTCATCTCTCTGGGGTTCTACAACACAAAGAGGAGGAATAAGATCTCTAACGTCCCTCTTTGCCCTAACGTAACTTAACAATCACTCTTATACTACCAGAGCTGTGCTGGCTGCGTACGGCGGGCCAGCATTCTGTGGATGCCTTCTGTAATCAATGTTTCTTACAACTCCACAAAGAGGAAACAATAGTCCATTTTAAAGATGAGTGATCCTGGCCCAGAGAAGCTAAATCACTTGCCCAAGATCACACAGCTGGTAATGGCTGGCATAGGACTTTAATTCAGGACAGCAGACTCCAAAGCTCATGTCCTAATCCCACCTTACAGAACACTTACATTTCTAAGACTCCTACTCACCACACTGACTCTAAGTTCTTGAAGCCCAGCCTCAGAGCCCAGGCTTGGGAGTCATCAATTCACCTGATCCGAAGAACTCCCCTACAGGGAATAGAGTGCCATCATGCCTGGACACCCTCCAAGTATAATGCCCCCAACACTTGGCCCTGCCAGGCCCGACAACAAAGGTCCCCAACCTAGGGATGTGTAGTCCCCAATCATCTTCTGTAGCACTGACTGTAAAGCAAGCTGGCCTCAGTGTTTCCAGAAACTCAGGAGTTAACTTGGCACTTGGGGCTCCACCCAGGTTTGATGGGGCAGGGCTCTGGTTTGGGAAGAAGGGATTAAGGGAGGAAAAGAGCATGAATAGAAGCCAGTTCTGGGTCTTGCCCTGAACCAGAATTAGTCCTGCAAACTTGGGCAGGTCACCTCATCTTTGGGATTCTGGTTTCTTCCTGGGTACACTTGAGGGGTAGGTCTGGCTAACCCCTATCCACTTCTAGCTCTGACCCTCCAGGATGGCCTCCAGCTTCCCTTCCCAGTCCAGGCTAAGCTCCCCCTCCCAGCAGCAGGGGTGAAGAGGGGGGCACACTATCTCCCTTGGGGGTTTCTAAGAATAGCCCCCAGTGGGGGAGAAAGATGAGGGGGGACAAACTAGGCAACTTCCCTTCCTGGCCCCAGGAGCCTAAGAGGAAAATGTGAGTCACAGTAGAGGGAAGGGGAAGGGGGATGAGAGACTGAAATAACTCTACACACACCCCTAGCTGACTGTGAGAAAAAAATGGATGCCAGGGGGCTGCAGGAGATGCCAGGTTGGGTCTGGGTCACAGGGGGAGTCCGCTCACTCCGTCTGAGAAGAGGACAGAAGCACCTTCCTATGAGTAAGAGTAAGACTGGAACTGGAAAGGGGCTTCCCCAGGAGGCTAGAAAGGGGGCCGCAGCCCCCTCCCATCCAGAAACCCATAGGCCCAAATGACAGGGACTTGGTCTCAGCTCAGGGAAGCTGTATGAGCAGCCATAGCCCCAAGAACTGGTGGTACAGGGGCAGCAGTGACCTTCTCTACTACCCCAAGGATGTGCCTGCTAAGTCCCAATGGGTGAGGCTACACCAGGTCCTGGATGTGCTTCCCCACTCAGGCACCAGGCCTGGCTCTGGGCACCATGCCAGCTGAGAGCAGAGAATAGATGCCCACTCAACTGGCTGGCCAGAGATGCAGGGGACAGGGAAGCACCACCGCTAAGCGCCTTCTTTCCCAGGAGGGCAGACCAGCCCCAGAGCTCAGCCCAATGGCAGGCCTAGAAGAGTAGCTGCCAGAGCTAGCAAGGGCAGGAGGACCTGGCCCTTTAATAGGTCTGACAGTGCCCTGCAGGCACATGCTCCACAAACAAACGGGCTATAAAGTTACTTTTAAAAAGGTACGTTCTGTTCCTGTTCCGGCGCACAGGCTGGGCGGGGAAGGGCATCATGCCAGAGCACCCAGCTTCTCACCCTGGGAGCCCCAGTTAACTTCCTCCCTGTGGATGGGGCCACAGTGGGCTATGGGCCACAGGCCCTGAGCAAGGCACAGGCTGGTCCCTCAAAACCTTGAGCACGGCAGAGGAGAGCACCGTCTGGATCAGGGTGCCTCTGAGTGACCAGGAGGTGTGCTGACTGTGGGGCTATGGCTGGCCCCGCCCCCCATGGCTGCCACAGCCCCTGAAAGCCCTGCTGCCACAGAAGACACACTGAACTCTGCCCCTGGGCAGACCCCAGACTCATGTCTCTGAAAGGAACTTCCCAGCTGCCTCTTGGCTGGGTACCAACCCCTGCAGCTCTCGCACGCCTCCTGCCCTCGGGTGAGAATACTGCTCTGGCGGGTTCCACTCTGTGCTGGGAAAGGGTGTGGCCCCAACATCAGAAGGTAGATGCTACTTTCACCCTAATTTTACAGACTGGAAAACTAAGGCTGGAAGAGGGGAGGTTAGTGGTCTTGGATCCCACAGAGAAGAATGCGGCCACTGGACAACCAGGTCTGCCTGCGCCAAGCCCATACTTCTTACTCCACACTGTGCTGTCAAGCCCCACTATACACACAGAACGTGGAGGCAGCAGCCAGCCCGGCAGAGGACGACCAGGCAGGACTGCCAGTCTCATGCCCAGCATGCGGCAAGTAGGATGAGCTCTAACACACCTCTTCTACCCCACTCAAAGCACTCCTGCCCAGAGCTGACCCCGGCTCATCACCCTCCGTCCTCTCAGAAGTGGATTTGGTCCAGGAGAGGTGACTTGTTCTTTGCCGACTATACCCAAAACCTGCCCAGTTCCTCTACATCAGTTCATCATGGAGCTGCTCTTCGGGGATGGTGCCACGGCCTGCATACAGCCTGCATTGCCCTCTCAGCCTTGCCAGGGCCCTGGGGCTGCCCACTACATCCCTGTCTCCAGTTCTACCTACGTCTCTACAGGCTCAGGCCAGAGCAGGAGGCTGCGGCCCTGACACAGCGCAGGTCTGTGTACCAAGGCCCCCTCCTCTCAGTGTACCTTCTGCCCCAGATCCCAAATGGAGCTGGATCCTTGAAATTGGCCTCCCATCTCTTGTCCCTCCACTAAGATACAGCCAGACAAGTCTTCATCCAATATCTACTCATAACTCGCCCCCCTTCCTTACCACGTCCCCTTATTTCCGGCCTCCTGCCCTCCACACCTGCCTCCCAGACCACCCACCTGCTTCCAGAGGAAGGCATCACTACGGTTGAGCTGCCAGGCCAAGATGAGATGTAGGGTGGAGAGGCCCAGGCCGCTGAGGACGGCAGCTCGCATACGGATTGGTAGGAGCGTGTAGGTGATGTAGACAAAGAACACAGGGCACCAGAGGCCGGCAGAGGGGCTGTGTGGTTGGGCTGCCAGAGTGCCCCCAATCTGCACAGCCGCGAGGATCCCCAGCACCACGTAGCTCACCACCCACATGGAGTCCTGGCGAAAGCTATGTCGGTTGCACACCACCATGAGTGCCACAAAGAGGGTGGCAGCGCAGGACAGCAGGGCCACATAGGCAGGCTGAGGGCGGGAGGGCGCAGCATGGAAGGCCAGCAGCACCACCGTGAGCAGAACCAGCACCGCCATCAGCAGCGTCAGGCTGCTCTGGTTCATCTGAAAGAAGTACCGCTGGTACAGGCGCTCCAGCTTGGCCGAGCGGAACTGCTTCGACTGGAACACCTGTGCCAGACGACGCCAGCAGGATCGCCCAATCCTGGGTGATATATCAGGTGCCACCTCAGCTGTCCCGATAGCTGCTGTCACCTCAGTGTCCTCGAAGCCCAGGGCTACTGCCCGCCGACCCAGCTCCATACCCTTGCCTAGGCCACCCTTCCGGATAAAGGCCTCATCCTGCCAGGGGCACCGAGAGGGAGCCGCAGGGGTGGGGCTGGGCGGCTCCGTGTCCTGGAGGCAGCTCATGTAGCGGGGTGTGCAGAAGCCACTGGCCCGAGTCCCACGGCGCGACCGCTTCTGCCCATTGCGTTCACCCCAGGCTGTCTTCCGTTCATCCACTTTGGGGACCAGGAGGCCGCTAAACCACGACATGCTGCTGGAAGGAAAGGAACAAGATGGTCTTAATACCATCATGGCCACCACCAGTAACTCGTTACCTGGGCACTTCTTCCCACTGCCAAGCTAAGTGCTTCACATACATCGTCCTCATAAAACCAGCCTGAGGAAACCAAGACCTAAGGGCAATGGAGATCAAGCAGCCATGTAAGTGGGAAAACCAAAACTCCAACCCAGATCTGTCTGGCCCTAAGCCAGTGCCCTTAAAAATTCACCTCTTGGAACCAGCAGATGGCATAATGGTTACATTGCTGGACTCCCATGTAGTCGCCCACGGTTCAAATCCCAGACTGGGCAGCTTAAAACTCACACCAGGCATGCGTGCATGCGTGCCCAAAATCCCAAGAAAAGAATGGAGAAGGGATTGTGGCATGGCCACCCCCTCCCCCCACGGGGATGATTTCTCACTTTCTGTCTCTGTCTCTGACTATCTCTCCAGCGAGCTCATGTGCCCTACAGCAAAAATTTCTAGAGAAAAAAAAAAATCACCTTTTCCCTAGTCTCTGAAAAGGCACTGATTTCTTCGTGGTCACAAACCCAACTGCCCTGTCAACAAGTGAAGCAGTCCGTGGTTCAGGAGAAGTGGGAGGAATAGCCCACACCCTGAGCAGGGGCAAACAGCACCCAGCACCAGTGGATTATTGCTCCTGCTGTCCTAGTGAGGCCCGGTCTTCCCATTTTTCAACAGAAGCCAAAGGAAAAAAATCCAGATTTTAGTGCAACATCTCTGAATTTTTAAATGTTGGCAACTAATTCACATTTCTCAACACTGCAAGCCAAATAAATCATGTCTGTGGAATGGGTCCTGCCTATGGGCTACCAGTCGTTGACCTTGTACAAAAAGGAATCTTTCCACATTTTTCATCACACTCATGCACACACAAAACATACTCCAAGCAAAATTCAACCCCTAGATCATGGCTTAAATGTAACTTCCTCAGGGAAGATCTTCCAGCTCCCTAACCCCAACTAAGTTTAGCTCCTTTATATTTTCTCCATATAGTTATTGCAATAACAAAATCATTCCTTGATTAACATGTGTCTCTACCCCTCTAAGCTTTGGGAGGGTAGGGGTTACACCTGTTTTGTTCAGCACTTTGTCCCCAGCACCAGGTACTGGAGCTGGCTCTACAAACATAGATGGAAAAGATAGAAAGCAAGCTTCCTTCGGCATTGGTATGGAGCAGTGAAAATGAATTGCTAATAATGATAACCCTCGGACTCTTCCTCTTCCTTACTGCACTCCTATTAGCCTCTTCACTGTTCCCCAGCCAGCCTGGAACTCTGCTGCTTGCTATTCCCTCTGTCCGGAACAAGAGCTCCTACAGGTCACAGCTCAAATGAGCTCTTATCAGTGAGGCTTATTCTAACCACCCTATTAAAATAGCAACCCCCTTTCCTGGGGCTCCTTATCTCCCTTCCCAGCTTTTTCTCCAGAGCTTTAATCAGCAACTGCCATTCTATATAATGTTCTTATTTATTCATTGTTGCTCTCCTTACTGGAATGTCAACTCCATGAAGGCAAGAATGTTGGGCCGCTTCACTCACTGCTGTATCCACAGCACCTAGTAGGATCTAGAACAATGTTCATTGAGCAGATGGACAGCTGCTCGGGTGGAGGAATGCTAGATTATATTCCCATGCACTTTGTGCTTTCAACTTTTCAAGGTCTTTTCACATGCCTAATTCTATTTGATCTTCAACAAATCTCTGTGAAGCTGGTTCTGGGGCTCAAGACAGATTTGACAGGGAAAAAAAAAGAATTGAGGGCCAGCAGGGTGGTGTGGTGGTTAAAGTGATGGATCCCACACGGCCACTTCCATGATCTGAGTCCCAGACTTGGCAGCATGAAAAACATGCTGGGCGCATGTGCGTGAGTGACCAAAATCCTCAGAGGAGAATGGAGGGATTGCACATGACCAACCCCACCCAGCAGGTGATTTCTCACTTTCCCTCTCTGTCTCTCTCCAGCTAGTACATGTGACCTGTGGCAAAAATCTAAAACAAACAAAAACAACAACAACAAAAAAAAACTGGACTGGTCCTATAGCTCAATGTTTAAAGGAACAGAATCCTACATGTCTGACTGTGGAACTTTGGTATTCAAATCCCATCCTTCATTGACTTTAGAAACATGCCAGGCACACACAGGTCCGTGTGCATATGTGCCCACTATCCCAACAGAATGGAGAATGGGGGACAAGGTACTGTAGCATGACAATGCCCCATCAGGGGGTGCTTTCTCCTTTCCTCTGTCTCTCTAGTGAGCACACATGCCCTCTTTAGCCCTTTAAAAAAAAGGGGGGGGGGAACATAGCAGTTGTTTTTTACATGGCTAGCCCGAGTTATAGAGATTATAGGTAACCAAATCAGTCCCAGATCCCAGGTTTCCTGGAGGGAAGTGTTCTGAACTGCGGTGGAAGGGCTCATGACAACACCTTAATGAGTCACCTAGTTGAGCCCAGGTCAGAAGATGACAGTGAACACAGTCATCCATGGATGCCTGCATCCCCATCAGGGTCACACTCTTCCATGCCCGCGGAGACCCTGAGGGGCGCCTTGTACATCAACCTGCTGAGCTAGCAGCACTGACATTTGCACTCACTAGGGGATGAGAGGGAGAGCACCAGCACTTGCCCCAGGAGGCCACAGAACCAGACGCTCAAACACATGAGCACCACTCCAAGCAGACACCCAGGACACAAGTAGAAGACCGCTGAGGACTCCTCTGCACACCCGGAATCGCCACCCCTGAGCCGCCCTTGGGCACGTTCTGTCAGCACCCCTGCCGTATGGCAGAGGGCAGCATGTCCTTCACCTCAACATCTCCAACAGCACCATCTGAAAGGACGGGTCGGGAATATGGGGCTTCTGCTCAGGCTGGCCTTTGGAGGTCACTAAGAAAGCCGGCTCTTCACAGTACTTTACCAGGAGCATGACCTCTGGTGTGAGTTCAGGTTTCAAACCTTAGTGTGAGTATTTGCCAGGTGCATGTGTTGGACAAGTTACTGAACCTCCCTCCTCGGTTTCTTGGTCTGTAAAATGGGAACGGTAACAGCCCTGAGGAAATAGTAGTGCCTGTCATATTTGGTATTAGCTCCTCTCCCCACCCTACGACACTTAACCCAAAGCTCTGCCAAGAGTACGAGAGACAATGAGAAAGTCACGAGCAAGCACACACATCTCTCCAGCCAGCCAGGCGCCTAGTTCTATCACCCCCTGTGTCCTCAGCCGTCCCCAGAGCTGCTGGGGACAGAGCCGAGTTAAGCAGGTTTCCCACTGCCCCCGTGACATTTTGTTTTAGCCTCTTCCCATTCGCCAGTCCCCTTCCCTATTCTTATCTCCCACCCCCCCACAAACACCCCCCAACTACCACCACTGGCCCAGACCTCTGTTCCCAAAGGACCCATTTCTGGCCGTGTTCCCAGCCCCCTGGAAGCACATCCTAGCATCTGGCTCATACCCACAGAGGAAAGGGCAGACACTGTCCAGGGGAACTCATGACCCTCCCAAGAACACTCTGACCCCCCAAGGGGACAGCTTCAGAGCTCTGAAACTGTCCAACCCACGGCAACCATCCTACCCTGGGCTTCACTGCAGGCATTGCCCATCCTGGAGAACTTGCTGGGCTCCCAGCACTCCTGGCTCCCAAAGTCAGGCTGGTATGGCAGGAAACAGGAGAAGGCACCGTCCCAAGCCACGAAGTTTCTCTCTGTGGCCGCCAGCCCTTCTTGTCCAGGAACCAGTCACCATCAGCTCC